TTACATCATATTATTTGTTCTTATATTTCTTTTTTAAAGCATAATGAGATACGATTGCCAGATTTGCAGACAGATAAAGGAAAAATACCAAAGTTTGTAAATTTGTTAAATGACTCAGATTCAGTTTTGGTGGTAGGTTGGTCAGAAAACTCACCTGGTAACCTTATATGTGTACCAAATACCATTCGAGGTGGAGAGTGATTAATAGCAGGACATATTGCTGCTCTTAATCCTATAAGAATAGTAGGTAGGATTTCTATCCATCTGGTATTGCTGTGAACCTTTATTGCAGTTTTTAAAGTTCAGTGAAACTGCTTTACTTTCCCACTTCATTGTGGGTGATATGGAGTTGTGATTTGAGATTATGGAACCAGACACGCGAGATCTGCTAATCCAATGTTCATAAATAAAATGTTTAGGCTACCATTCCTTATGTAATGTCTGGTAAGGGAACTACTTCTGCCCAACAGGAAAAACAGTCAATAATACATATCAGACATTACATCTTACCATCAGATGGTAATAATGGACCAATCAAATTAACATGCACAACAGTGAATCTAAGATCTGATGCTTGGAACTCAGCAAATTCAGATTTTGTATTTTTCTTGACTTTGCTCTTTTGACAATTAATACAGTCTTTGTCCACTCACGAATTTATTTCTTCATATTTGGACAGATAAATTTTTCAGTTATCTGTATTACAGTTGTCCTGATACTTGGACAAACAAAATTATGATTTTTGCAAAATATTTGCTGTGTGAAATGTTTTAGGAATAGAAGTTCTGATATTGGCTGCTGAGTTGTCATACCATAATGTTTTCCAGATGGCAATGTACATGATTTAAATTTTAGGGAAGTACTGCCTGCCATTAAATGTTACAAGTCTTCATTATTTTCTTGAGCATCTGCTATTTCATCATGATCAATGACTGAGAATGCATCAATTTATGACACAGCATCTATAACTAAATTTTCTTTGCCATAAATATGATGAATACAGTCAAAAGTCTTTAATCCGGACCTCCATAATCCAGACCTCAAAGCTACAAACAGTCTGCGCATGCTAAACGCATAATGCGTTAACGTTTGCGCACATGCATTTACGCATGCGCGTTTAATGTATAATGGACGGTATAAGCTAAGCTAAAATTATCTAATTATCTATTTCAGTTAACGTTGCAGATTGCGTTGTTGCTTAATCTTTGAATTGGATCCGGCTTATTATTTTTGCAGACTGTTAGAGCAATTTTATAAAAGTAAGCTTAAACTTGAACATGTCAAATAGAATTTCCGATTCTGGAGCTGCCAAAGGATCTACAAAGCGAAAGCATGTTTTGATGTCCATTAAACAAAAAGTGGAATTGCTACAAAAAATGGATAAAAGCATGAAGAAAGTGACAGAGAGGTGATTTGTTTCTTTAACCATTCCGAAATCTGTTTATCAATTTCACTCTGCTCTGCGGGGAGGGGGGGGGCGTCGCGGCGCGCAATGAACTGGAAGTTGATCTGTCAGCACTATCCTCATCTTCAGGGCAGATGTTTTTATTTTATTCGGCTTATAATTCCTTACTAAATGTAGTGTTTCATCTCGATATACTCCGATATCATTTAAATCAATTTCCTCGTCATTATAAATATCACGAATACACATAAAATAGTTTTCTGGTTGCAATATTCTAATTTCGACTATGCGTAATGTATGCTTTACGCATGTGCGCATTGAAAGAAATGTTCAATAAAATAAACAAATATTAAGTTTTTTTTTTTTTTTTTTTTTTTTTTTTTGTAAATTTTGATACCTTTTAGATCATAACTGCTGTTTATTTCATAAATTACGATTTCATATTTTTAATTGTATAATTTCTGCATGCCATCTTACCAGATTTCAATTGATGATCGATAATCCGAAATCGGTCCCGAAGAGTCCGGATTAAAGACTTTTGACTACATCAGATGAAAATTCAGATATATACTGAAGTTGTCAATGCTTTCTCATTCTTTTATGTTTATGGATATGAAAATGGCTTGTGTATGTATCACAAACTTAATGAAGAATAAGATCAATTCATTAGCTAATAATTTGCTATGACTTAATTACACCAATTTCTGGAAATACAAGGAAATTATTCCCAGTTATACATAAAATAAACATTAAAACTACAACTTCCAACTAATTATATATCATATATTCTGGCATAGAACATGCAATTTTAATACAAAAAATTAGATCAAAATTTACAAGTGCATGTAATAGATTTAAAAATAAGGAAAAGATGAGATACAAAAATTAGATTTCTACACATATTTAAATGCTGTTTATTTAAAAGAAATGACATGTCTTATAAAATAAAAAAAAACTTTTATTTCATAAGATATATGAAAAGTTCATCATATTCGTCCTGTTATATCTTCAGGAACATCACTGAATTTTGTTTCATTTTCACCATCACTATTACTCTGCTCCATAAATAAATAATCATTTTTCGTTCCATCTAGATTATTAAATACACTACATTTTTAAATGACTTTTGATTTATGTTGGGTTCAGTTTTATTTCATGCTTTTATTTTCTACTCACTCACTGTTTTTAGACTGGCATGAAGCATTTAACCTCCTATTGTAAATGTTTTTTTCACTTTCTAGCAGCCATGTATTCTACTCTCATTTTAAATTTTCTTTGAATAATTTGTTGACTCACACATCTAAAGGCTGAATTATTGACGTTAATCAGCCTAGAATAACTGCTATGTCTGTATTACACTCTTTCAACAATTTCTTGGTATTATCCATTGGATGGGATTTAAACATGTCCCAAACTAAAATGCTTTCTGGATCCTGTAAGGTAACAGGATGCTTTTGCCAAACATTTCTTAGCCATGGTTTCATACCATTTTTGTCCATACACTCTTTCTTGTGAACACAAATGAAAATAAACTGCTGGCCACCATAAATGCAACACCCTGAAGGAAGCATGCAAATAACATGAAATTTACAACATGCATTAGCGGAGGTGAGATATGAAAATGATTAGAATTTCAGTGCAGACGCACATCACAGGCGCCTATCGCGCCACTTCAAAACACTATTTAAGGCTTGGAGTTTTCGACGATTTCAAGTTCGGCAATTGTGTTTTTCTTGTGGGTTTTTTCAAAAAACGATCAATTATGCCTCGTAGTAAACAGTATCCTCATTTGATTAAGTATCCGAGTTCGACAGAGGAAGGATAGGGGCCTACTGAAAGTGTGGATTATCTTTCAGGGAAATTGATATTCATGTTGGACGAAACCAAACAACTGTAATGTGGATATGTGACTGTTGGATGCAGGAGATAACGATGGATCGACATGTTTGATCGCATCCACCTCAGTGCACCACTTCACGTGATGACAGGAACATTGTGTGCATGGCAGTGACAGATTGCTTAGTCACATCATGAACAACATTCAGTCTGTAATGTATCATCCAGTGTCTGCGTGTACCATTCGACGGTGTTTACAGCAGAATAGTCTGTCTGCAAGACATCCATTGCTTCGTCTACCCTTGATGCAGAACCACAGACGTCTCCGCCGCCAATGGTGCGATGAAAGAAGGATGTGGACGGCAGAATGGAATGAAATTGACGAGTCACGCTTTTGTTTGCAACACCACGATGGTTGGATTCGAGCGTGGAGACACCGTGGAAAGAGGATGCTGAACAGCTGCGTTATGCACCGCCACACTGGTTCTGTACCGGGTATTATGGTATGGGGCTATATTGGATAGAACTCTAGCACTCCTTGCATTGCCGGTACTTTAAACAGCCAGCGCTACATCTCTGAGGTGTTGGAGCCAGTTGTCCTTCCTTACCTTCAGGTCTTGCCCACAGCCATATTTCAACAGGATAATGCGCGACACACATAGCAACATTGTCCAAGGGTTCTTCGTCAGTCGCCAGATTGAACTGCTTCCCTGGCCGGCTCGCTCTCTGGATCTTTCATCGATAGAAAACATGTGGTCCATGGTTGCTGAACGATTGACCCAGATTACATCCCAAGCTGCCACACCACATCAACTTTGCAACGTGTGGAAGCTGCTTGGTCTGCTGTACCCCAAGAACACATCTAAAGTCTCTTTGAATCAATGCCGAGGCGGGTGGCAGTGGTGATCTCCAACAATGGCGGCTACTCTGGCTACTGATTGTGAAAGGAACCACACTTCACGGAAGTCTATAAATTTAATCATTTGATACTTGGTTAACATGTTATCTACTAAATAAATTTTGTTGTGATATCTCTTGTCTTTCTTGGTGTTGCAATTTGGTTGGCCAGCAGTGTACTATCTGGGAAATTACATTTCGGCAAAGTCTTTCTTTTAAAAATAACCATGGGCTTTAACTTTTTACAGTCTGCTAAACAGGAAAGCATTATGGTGTAATGAGTTTTTTGTGACCTGCTGTTCTTATGTGGACTGTTTTTGTTCCTTTCAGATCAGTTGTTTTTATTTCCTATCATAACAAACATTCCTGGAGTTTTATCCATATTTCCAATATGCAACAGTAAATATTTTTTTTTTTTTTTTTTTTTTGCTTTTGTAGGTCAATAATAGGCATCTTTCAGGGTTTTTTTTTAAAAGAAAAGGAAGATTGTCACACAGCGAATATACCTAAAAATTAAAAATTGTACTCTGAACTTACAGGTGCGCGGTATATGTCAGAATATACGGTACATCAATTTTACATTTAGACATATTTAAAGAAATACTGTCAAGAAGCTATCTACTATTTAGAAAACATTAATGACACTGATATACATTCACTGATCCCGATAAGTATTTTCTATTAGTTTTCAATGACAGATGTCCAGAAGAAATCCAAGATGATTTTAAAAATAATAATAATAATAAATTTAAAAAAAAAAAAAAAGGTTCCTCGACGTTCCAGATAATTTTAAAGGTCTTTTGCTTAAATTTTAAAATATTTTTTTACTGTTATTATTATAAATTTTCCTGAAAAATATTACTTGAATCTTGTATTCTTCTTGAGGTAAGCAGTCAACAAGATCCACACAGCCTAGTAAGCATCCAGTTGGATAACTATCAGGAAAAGCACAATTGCCTATTAAATAGATCATATTTATTATTGTGAGATTTATTTAATAAAAATTTTAAACATTTTAAAAGTACAATACATTTTTATTGCATTATATATTTATTAAAAATATAATTCATATTAAAAGCAGAAACACATACAGGAAGGATGACATGACACAATTTAAGCATCAGAACTCTCAAATTCTATTGTTACAAGACAGATGTAACTAGATCACATGTATTAGACTTCTACGAGAAGAAATGCTTTCAAGAAAACAGGAGTTTCGCTAAAGTCTATATCCAAAATATACTTAATTGTGAAAATAAACTACATTAAACTTTAACAGAATGCAGTTTTTATTACAAGATTTACTAACACTTAAAACAACAGAAATGTTTCTGAATATAACAGAGAAAAAAATAATAATTCTGTTGAAAAATGGTGTAAAAATTCAAAAAATAATAATTTCCGTACTCAACTGTCACACTCTATTGCAGGTCTGAATTTTGAAATCTAACAAAATTCAAACTTAAATATAAATAATTTCAAATTAAAAAACTCAATACATTTTGAGACAGAAACCCATGCAATCTCATCTCTTTCATTTTGAAAAAATATTTTAAAAGATAAAAACCTCAGTCTCTAAAAATCAAAAAAGACATCTCTCACAATATGCTTTTTATCATCTACAAAATATAGTTGTGATAGCAGAACATGCATAAAATCCTATGCAATAAATAGAAATAAGTATACAAAGAAGCTGCTGGCAGTCTTTGTAGCACAAGGACATATCAGTTATCTTTCAAATTCTACAAATACAAAATCTGCCTAGGAAACAAATATCAGCTATTTAAAAATATAATTTTTAATAGCAAAAAAAATTATGAATGTAATATTTGTTATTTGAACAAGCAACAACTTCCTTACTGGCTACAAACAGAATGCCTGCCCTTTGTAATACTACTCAGTCTTTTAATAACAATGCATATCCTTAGCATAATTAATAAATCTTCTTGAAATTATAAATTATTATAAAACTCTGCTATGGAATTTTTCTTTAACTCTCTTACGTTTTTATTAGTCTGTTCAAAAATAACAATAAAATTTTATAGCTATATGCATACTACAATTATTTATATGCACTCTACAACCCTTTACATCTGGAGTTATCAACCTTTTTTTGCCCCATGCACCCCTTTTCACCATTCCCCCCTCCCCCAAAAAAAGAGAGGGAAAGAAAGGAAAAAAGAAAGAAAAATATATATACAATTAATTTAAATTTAGATTACTTTGTAGCATGTTTTTTCAGTCAAACAAGAAGTACAAGAAATTTTGATAAATACTAGAACTTAAATAAAATTAGTTTCTCACATTCATAAAGTAAAACTAAATAAAATAAATCATACTTCAATTAATAAAATGTTTAATAGCATGCCTAATTGTTCAATGATAAACCTGCAACTGTTTTTTCCTGACTAGTTCTTGAATACGTGGAAGAGTGCCCGAAGGGGCACAATGCAAGTCACTTTCAACCGACAAATCTACTTTACTGCGTCGCTTTCATTTGCAACAGAGATGAAATTCCAGATTTGCAGAGATATATCGACATGAATGGAAGAATTGCATGCACTCTGGTTATGATTTGCACATCAAAAGCCCAAATTCTCAGACTGACTTCTTTTTAAATATGTCTTTTTCTCAAATTTATATTGGAAAACACCAAGACTTTTTCAACTGATAATTTGAATAGATTTCAAACTAAGTCCAACTATTTGTCAGAAAGTTTAGGAAAATATCCTCTAAATTCGTTTTGCCATGCTGTCAAACTTCATTTTTTGCTAATTCTGAATCTACCTGAACATTAGCACTGGTAACATGAAATGATAACAAATTTTCAAACATAACAGCACTTTTCGTGTTAGCTTTTCTCTTCCAGTTTTCTAGTTTATTCATAAAAGCTTTTAAAGAATAAATTAATTTTATGATGTTTGTATTTCTTCCTTGCATATGAAAATTCAATTTATTCAGCTCCTCAAAAATAGCAAAAAAATAAACTCCATTACTCTCGTCCAGCCCATAAATTATACATTTCCTTAATTTTCAAAAAATTATTTAAGTTCCATTCTAAGCTCAAACACTTGCTCAATTACATTTACTTTTGAAAGAAAAAGATATCCATCTGAGAAAGAAGCAAATGTTAATCTGCATCCAAATCAATCATAACTGCTTGAAAATTTATGCACTCAGAGCTCCACCCTTGATAAAATTCATAATTTAAACTGTTTGATCAAAAACCATCCCTAATGGAGCTAGGAGAGTTTATGAAGCTAGTGCTTGGCGATGGATCATATAGAGAATGCCTTTCACTTTTGGGAGACAGTTTTTTCTCTTGAAATCCAGATTTTGTGCCCAACATATCTAGTATTTGAAACGTGCAGCACTCGTATACATTATCCCGCAAGAGATTTTCTGACTCACAGAAAGATTAAATCTTTAAAAATATTTGAGGCTGTAGTGGTTGTTTTTAGAAGAGAAGAATTTATAACTAAGTTGATTCATTGAGTCGTACTAAAAATAAGCCAAATGCTGCAGGCTTAATCTCCTGCATAACTTGATCTTTGATATCAACTGCCATGTCACTGTTCCACACAGTATGATGTACTATCATATGTTCCCTTTCGAACAGTACTCTTTTATAGTGAAACTGTCACAAGTTTTTCCTCCATTCGTTTCTCCGGATGATTTCCATCATTTTGAGAGCACGGGATTTGATCAAAGTTTCCAATTGTAAGCGATTTCTTCTGCTTTGTTATCTCCAGTGCCAACCCACAGAAAGCTTCAATAATCTTGTGGGCCCCCCCCCTTGTAATGCTCCTGCTGATTCTAATTTCGTCTTAAAAGCATTTTCATGCATCTCCAAAAAAAAGGGGGGGCCTTATTTTTGTGTTGAAGATGAACATTCTGCAAATGTTGCCCAAGCTTGGTTGGTTTCCAGGAATCATTTGTCAAAATCTTGCTGAAAATAACACATGGAGGTTTTTCTTCTCTATGAACTGTAATGGATGTGAAACCATACTGAATATATAAATCAACATATGTTCTTGTTTTGACTGTCAACAAATATAGAGTTTACAAAGTAAATGTATGAGTGGACAAAAGTCATATTCCAGAACTAATGAATCAAACTGTGGCCTTCGAGAACAAGACCTTACAGCTTAGCGATGTAAAGCGTGTGACGTAAGCACAAAGAGTGCGCCCCTTCTTTGGGGGCAAGGGCAGCACTGGGTCAAAGGTTATTTTTAGTCACCATTGCTGCGAGAGAAGAGGTTAAACTGCAATTATTGACCTAAAATTTTGGTATGTACCATGATTTTTTTTTTTTTTTTTTTTTTTTTTTTTTTTTTTGCCGTTGGCTATGTTAAATTTTAGCTTTTTTGGCAATTTGTGGGTTGTTCCAGAAACAGTACAATGTCTTACATGTGTTCAGTGTCACAATGTGATAGAAATTATCTGGACTTAAAGTACATGTTTCTGCTTTTCCTAATGATGCAGATCTGAAAGAAAAGTGATACATTCAATAAAAGAAAAGACTTTATTCCAACTAAAAAAAGCAGGGTGAGCTTTCATTACTATTACTTCATTGATATTTAAAGAAAAATTAAATAGACTAAATATTCTATGTTTCATATGTCTGTTTTTAAAACCAAAATGATTTCCATTGAAAAGCTAGTGTAAAAGTACAAAAGTAAACAATAACTAGTGTAAAATGCAAAAGTAAACATTAAATCATTGCTAATGTAAATAAGGTACAATAAGTTTTGTTTCCTGTAATTTGTCTCAAAGTGAATTGTATAATTTTGTTAAGAAATGCATTTTGCTTCATAAACTACATGTAGATATTGTAATGGTCAATTAAGTGCATAATACTATAAGGTTATTTAATGCATACAAAATTTTGTTTCATATATTGCAGAAATGCATGTGCATTGTGATTATATATCAATCATATAGAATTAAATGTTCACTATAAAGAAATTTTCAGGAGAATACACAGAACTGGAACTTAAAATAGCATTTGTAATATCTAATTTATTTCAGTTTTATTTTATAAGTGCTTGTCATTATAGTTTTAAAAATTTTAAAGTAATAATGTTTCTCATTTAAAAACTCAAATTTGTTTGTTTATAATATTTTAAAGGGGCACATTACCCTTTCAACTTTTTTGTCATATTTTCAAATTGTGAAAATTATAATTAATACTATATTTTTTAAAAAATCTTTAAAAAAATTTTCAAAAAATTTTTTTTAAAGTTTACACCAGTTGCTTATAAAATTTAGAATTATTTTTTAAAATATTCAATTTTAAAAAATTTGCTATTACTTTTTTTATATTAAACTTCATACATTAGCAAAATGCTAAATTTTTGAAGAGCTATAGAGTATATGGTGTTTCAAATAGATGCAGTAGAATAAACAATTAAAAAAAGGAAGTGTTTCTGCAAGGGATGTCCGGTATCCTATATTGTCATTGCACTTTCTTGATATGATATAGGCTCTACCACATTACTTCGGTAACGAGATGTAAGATAAGAACCTCAGCTAACTACCTCACAAATTCAAAATTTAAAGCATAATTCTGCAGTGGGTTCCAACTCAGACATAGTTACTTTTGATCTAGAGAACTTGGAAATTAATTATTATGTTCATAAATTCTAATGCAGACATATCAAGATTTCACTAAAGATTAATACAGAATAATAAGAATTCATATCTGAATTAAAAATTTATTTAATAAAGACAGTAGGCAAAACTAAAGCAAAATGATTTTCTGCGAAAGTTTAAAAATAGATCTTTGGTTTTTATTCTATGAGAATATGGATGACTGCAAGTTTAATAATTATTTTAATGATAACAGATGTATTTACATAATACCATTTGACTTGTCAGTTTAAAACAATACTGACATTAAAAATTGTCATTAAAAATTAAATTTTAATGTATTTATATCGATAAATGAATAATGA